GTCCTGGCCTAAATGTCCATTGTCTCCAAAGCCCCTTTATGGAGCATCAGCAAGCCCATGTGCACAGCCTCTTTCTCCATTACCTCCATTTCTATCTTCCTGTCATCCCTGCTCAAGCCAAGGGCCACCTCCAGGGCTCTCAGCTCTCGGCCTCTATTCTTCACATCCAAGATACCAGAACTCATGGATCGTAGGGCCAAGAGGACATCCTCAAGCGACCCCTTGTCTCCTCTGTCTGCCCCAGATGCCATCCTCCAACTAGACACCTCAGAAGACTCCCCAAGTACTGGCAGCCTGCCACAGGCACCACTCCCTTCCGGCAAGCTCGAACATCTCCACTAGCAGGACACCTGCCTGCACAGGGCCTCTGCCCACCAGGACCTCAAGCCGCCCCACCAGCCGTGACAGAAAAGAGGAGTTAGCAGTTTCTTCAGTGTGCCCTTGTGTAGTCAGCTACTGCCTCCAGCAGAGGGGAGCCAGCAGTCAAGTCCTGCAGTCCAAAGAGGACTCAGTCCCCAGGGACACAGAGCTACACATACCCTAGGGGGCACATAGCCTATGAAGCCAGGGGAGAAAAGGAAAGCAGCAGACACAGGGCTCAGGTGGTAGAATTCCGTCTTTCAGTAAGTCTTCCTTCAACATGCTATTTGTGACAAGAAATAAAAGTAGCAGAGGAAGAAATCTACATCATCAACCTCCCCTTTGCTAGCAAGGTCTCCTCTTTTTGTGAGACCTAAAGCTCCCAGCCCCTCCCACATTACTCACAACTCAGTCTGGAGTGCTGCAGTAGCCCTCCGAGTGGATCCAAAGACCCCAAAGACAGACCTTTTTTTAATCACCCCTAGATTTCTGGACTAGGGAAGATGAAAAGATATTTTAGAAGCATCTTCTGCAGAAAGTCATCTTGGCAAACCCTTTATTTTAGTTTTCTCAGCTCTAAAACTTTCAGGAAATTCTGTTTATCCTGTCCGATCTCTGCACCCCAGCAGCACTTGAGATTTCTAGTGTGTCCCAGGCAGAGAGAGAGAGAGAGGCCTGGTCAGCACCCAGCCCAAACAGCCAATCAAAGGAAAGCCCACAGAGAGGCCAGCTTGGGATCAGCTGGTGGAAAACAGTTCTATTCTCATGCAGAAAGCGACTCTGGCCCACTCCTTTTGTCTATCTACCCACTCTTCCTTCTTTTGACATTAACACCCTAGGCAGAGCTCTGTAGCCAAAGCAGAAAAATCCAGGCTCTGGGGACAAAAAGTCTCCACACTCTGCAGACGCCTGGCTGGGCATCCACTCCCACCCAAGCAAGCAGAGCCTCTGAATGACAACAAAAAAACCCTTTTTCCTATATGTTTTGACATTCTCCAACAGGGCCTTTGTAAAAGTGCCTCCCACAGCTGGGGGTAAGAGCAGTGCTTAGGAAAGCAGGGAAAGGTGCCATCTCCAGGAACTCTGGTCAGTAGCTGGCTGTCCTTGCTGAAAGAGGCCGGAAACCACACTATCAGCTTGAGACAGATCTGGACTGAAGCTCTCAGCAGGAAGGGCAGGGTGTGCTGCTAATCCACCGCTTCCACCCCACAGGTGTTCGTGGTATCAGCACTACACCCCAGAGTCACCAGGGCTGTGACCCGAGATGCCAGGTCACTGTCAACCTGCCTGCCACCTCTTCTGGGGAGCCCTCCCATTCTGGCTGCCACAAGCAGCACTCTGCAACCTTAGGCTACTTCCTCTTCTCTGCTTATCACACAGGCCAGCCCCTGGACCATACCTTAAAGGCCAGTGAGTTCCCAGGACTTCCTGGAACTGTTCTGGGCCTGGGCCTGGGGATAAGGAGGTACAATTTTTAGGAGTACCATGCCATAAAGAGCTCAGCTACAGACGGCCATTCCCCCAGGCTTCAGCTATGGGAACTCTATAAACCAAAGAGGAAACAGTGTACCATGTCAGTCCAAAGCCCGTACTCACTGGGTGAGAAAAGAAATGAGTACCTCCTGAGGGACAGTCCCCTTGCCAGGGTCATGTATAGCTACCCCTGGGATTCCTGGACGAGGCAAAGCCATTCTACTGCAGCAGTCCCATCACAGTTCTCACATGCCCAGTCCCAGCCACAGTACCAGGTCATCGTGACAAGATGGGGACATGGATGGTGGATGTGGTGCTTGCTACAGGTCAAATACCAACTATGTGCCAGACACTTGCCCTGGACACCTGTTCCTAACACAATGGGTCTTCTATGGTCCCCCAGAGAGAGGTAGTCCTGTGACTCTGGTCTCACAAATGAGTTAATGTGACACAGCAAGGCCCAGGTTCTGTCCACCCCTGAGGACCAGCAGCAACCCAAGATGGCCTCAGCAAGCTTTTCGGAGAACCCCAGGTTCTCCTAGCTTATGACTTTATTGAGCCATGCCTCTGGGATTCATCAGGGCCTGCATCCTTTTTTGCCCCACTTTAGGGCCCACATGAGTTCCTGTCAGAGCGCAACTTATAGTCTACCTCTGGGAGCCCTGACTCCTTTACAATGTCCATGAGCCACCTGGCTCAGGATATCTTCAGAAGCAGAGATGGCAACCACACCTGATCCAGTCAGAACCATCTCTGTCCCAGGGCAGACATCATCAATGCAATATAGAGTTCAAGCAGGCATCACCAATCAATAAGACCATCTCTTTCCCACTGGGATCTTAACTGACAGACTACAGAACACAGGGTCCATCTCCACTACTGAAGCCCGAGCCTCTCACAATGGACAGGAAGGTGGAAGAAAGGAGAGAAGCCAAATTCTAACAAGACCAAGGTTCCTGAGAAGCTAATGAGCCAAGCATCTTTCCCTGAGGGGGGTGGGCAGGGCCCCACGCAGACTGGTGGGAGGTAAGGGCCTCACTCCACCAGGACACAAGGCATCAGCAGTAAAATCATCTCTACACCACAGAGGTAGCAACCATCAGTATCTTGGGAGAGCTGGGAGAGTCTACCTTCCTGAACCTACCCTGCCACCTGCTGTGGGTGACTACAAGCTGGTGACTTGCCCTAAGTTTTCTCATCTGTAAACATAAGAGGATTAATTTAACCTGATCAAGCCAGGCCCCAAGCCCCCCTTAACCTGCTCAGTCCAAACTCCTGGTGTGCCTGAGTTACCTAGGCCAGACCTCCTTACAGGGCCCAGTTTCTCCCTCAGCCTCACCTACCCTGCAAGGTGATGGCCTGAGGTACCCTCCAACACGTTCCAAATCACTCAATGACACAGGTTGTCCATCTTTCCCCACCTACCCCCACCCTACCATGTGGGCTCTAAAGCCAGGACCTGTGCCTGCGAGACCCTAGTGTCTAGAATGCTGCAGGACACAGCAGGTGCTTAATAAATTACTGGATGGATGGGTGGGGAGGAGTGGATGTGTGGGCGGGCAGGTGGGTGGATATGTGGATGGCTGAGCAAATGCAGCTCAGATCTAGGAGCCTTCTCAAGCCCTTCACTCTGAGCAGCTAAGGATCTTTGAAAAAAACCTTGAAGACAGGGTCAACTGTCTGAAATGATTTGTGTCCCAAGTCAATGCTGCTCTCTACTCGGGAAAGTAAGGCCTGCTGTGAGGGAGAGACTTCCCAACTGTGCCCCAAGCAGCCAACACAGCTGACAGCTCCTTTGGTAAAATAGCCAAGTCTCCTTTCACTTAAGACACTGTGTTCTGGGAAAGAGAAGCAGCCAATCCAGACCTGCAAAATCCTCCCCCAAAGCAGAAGCCCTGCCACAGAGTAGAAAGAGATTCCATTACGACCATGATCCGCACAGTCTCCAGACACTGCACACAGATACAGACCATGACCTGCTGAGCCCCTAAGGACCAGGAAACCACCCCCAAGTCAGGACCCCGTGCACTTGGGCGGCAGCTGCGGCCAAAGGAGAAAGTCCCTCCACCCACGGGGGTGCTTCGACAGTGCTTCTGGCCTCTGGGCCCATCCCATATTGGAAGCCAGCCCACTTGAGAAGCTGGCCCTGCCTTTCTCTTTCTTCCTCCAAGTGGGATCATGATACAGGAACCAGGCCCTGGCCCCGGCCCACGTTTTACTAGGGAGGCCTCGTCGTTCCCATGCAATGGAGATGATCCCAGGGACAGCTGCTTCCCTGGCCTCTCCTCCTGAGCCCTCACCGGCCCATCCCTACAGCCAGACCAACTTCACTAGGCCCTGGCACATCCTGGACGACCGGATGCCCCTGGCCATATACATGCACAAGAGCCCACCCTCAGCCTGACACCCCGAAATCAAGGTCTCCAGCTGGTGCAGTGGAGAAGATGCCGGGCTGTAGTCACATGGACAGGAGCCCAGACAGTAAGTGCCTGAGGAGGAGGGCAGGGAGCAAGAAGGTGTTAAAACACCTAAAGCAAAGAAAGCCACCACTGGTGGGGAGGGAGATCAACTCCGCTCCATGCATCTAAAAAGACATTCCCTTTAAGGATGCACCTATGGTCTACATGTAAACGAATTGCAAATCCTCATCTGAAGGAGAAAAATGCATACAGAAAGGCAGGAAAGCAGAAGACAAAATCACCCTGCAGGGCTGCACAGATGGTGAACACACAGAAAAAATGGCACGAGGAGGAGAAAGCACAGGCAAGGAGGGTGCGTGGGCGGGACTCCAGGGTCACTCCCCACCCACAGTGTCCTCTAATGCCACCGTCTTTTTTTACAGTCAACACAGATTTCATTTAAAAGTTAATGACAGTGAGCTTGCAAGGTTTGATTACCATGTGCTGATGGCGTGCTTGCTGACACTTTGGTGGACGACTTGAGAGTTACAAAGTTCCACCTAAGCTGAGACTAGACCTCAGACTTCACCTGCCAGGCAAGAAAGCCCAGATCTGCCCATAAATTCCGAGCACTCACTGCCCAAGTTCACCTGGACACACAGCTGGCTAACACCCACAGCCTCTGCTAGGCAGGCACAAGACTGTGAATGGGTCACTCGAGCCAGCGGCAACCGGGGGCCCATTCCACCCTCCCATCCTCTGCCTCACCTGCCTTACACGTCCTGCCGTTGTCCTGGAGCTGCACACCGGTAGGGCAGGCACAGGTATAGAAAGGCTCCCTCGGGGACAGCAGACATAAGTGGGAGCAGCCACCATTGTCCTCCTCACATCGAGTGTGGACTAGAAAAACAGGACAGAGTGAGAGAAAGTTCTGGAACAGGGTCCATGACCCTACCACCACCAAATGCACCCATCGCTCTCCTGCCCTTTGTTTCCAAATGGGCCAGCATCTTGTCTCATCTGTCCTCCTAAAGAACCCCCAGTGTGTCCGTCTGTCCAAATGTCATCCTCCAGTGGCATCAGGACCATTCCTCACAGGTTGTGCTCAGTTCCACCTCTCCACTAACCACCCAACACAGTGAGCTGTCAGCCTTCCTAGCTGGGCTGCAATTTCTCCAAAACCAGCCCAGATGTGCCTTGCCTTGAGCAGGTATCCTTCCCACCCTGTGCTCCTCCAACAAGAAAAGCCTCTGTCTTCTTCAGGGACACTTCTACCACAAAGGCTACCCTTACACACTCATGGCAGGATCTCAGGGGAGGTGGAGGTGGGAGGTGGAGGTGGGAGGTGGAGGTGGAGTTCCCCCAAGTCCTTCTACGACCAATAAGCAACTAAAGGCACCAAATGCCCGTGGGGCCCCTTTTGCCCAGGCACAGGTGGGGCTCAGCACCACCCCAGTCAGAAGAGTGAACTGCAAGGACAGCTTCAATGCAACGGACTCTGCTGTACTCATGCTGCTTGAGAACACATGTGGCGCCAAGGGAAGTAGGGTGCAAGGACCATGACATTCCCTCGAAGAGCCTACTCTCTCCTCTGTCCTGCCCTGGCCCCTACCCTGAAGCCCCAAGTTCAAACCTCCTATAATAGCTTAGCCATTCCTGGTCCCCAAAGCATTGATGAACCAAGAACCCTGGCCTGCTGGTCACTTGTCACAGAAGCCTATGTGTTACCATCAGAGACTTGGGCCAGGAACCTATGAGAATCACTGACTCAGGGGAGATTTTTCATTCACAAAAGCTCTGCTGGGCCATCAGGATGGGGCAGCCTTCCTTGGCAGCATTCTATGAGATCCAGCATCAGGAGCCCTATGCCTGCCACCCCAGCCTGGTTGTCCCTCAAGGTCAGCTAGCACCACTGTAGGGACACTGCCTCCCCCAACCATGGGCTTCTGCAGGGGAAGGACGTTGTCTGGTGCACAAGGCTCAGATGGCAGGTCCGTAGTAGAGGGACAGATGCCTGCTGGGCACTCACAGGAAGGCTGCCGCTCCTGGCTGAGCACCTGGATGTCCATGGGCGAGTAGAGGGCGCTGAGGATCTCCTTCCTCTTCTCACCCGTCCTCTTGTTACAGGCATGAATAGAGCGGGTTTGCCAGTCCGTCCAGTATAACGTGTCTCCAGACAGCGTCAGAGCGAAGGGGTGCGTCAGACTGCCTTCTACCACCTTCTGCCTGCAGCAGGAGGCCAAGGTTGGAGTCATCAGGAGAGCTCTGGGGGCTCAGCAAGCTTAAGGACCATTAGTGCTCATGTTGCCTGGCCCTCTCCAGCCATCCCTTCCTGGAACACAAGGGACACTTCCCAAACACAGTCAGCTCCTACTGCCTATGATACTGCCTATGTCCCTAGGGAGATAGGCACCCACTTCCCAAACAACCCCCCAAACAAACCAGGAAGAAGCAAATGCCAAGGAGGAGCCACATCTAAGTATAAAGAGCTGCAGAGCAGCACAGCTCTCCTCCCCGGATGCTTTAACAACTTAATGGAAATCTGACCACACACACATGCCTATTCCAAAAGAGCCGACAGTTTACATGTCAGAGTGAATCAAACTTGACATCAAAAGGAGAAAAAGCCTGCCTTGATTGACTGATGGACTGTGGTACTGGGGATGGAATCCAGGGTCTCAAACACACCAGGCAGGCGCACTTAACACTGAACTGTACCCAACAAGATAAAGCTTATCTTTTAGATGTGCTCGGAATATCCCAGCAAGAGAGAAGCCATGCTCTCATGAGATTACAGCTGCAGAAGGATGGTAATTTGATATGGCCAGTGATATGTGACAATTTAATGACCCACCTCACCAATTTAATGACCCACCTCTGACTAGCTGTGCGTTTTGGGCGAGCTCACTGGCTTCTCTGCGCATGCTCATGATAGGGGTTGATAATGAACACGTCACAGGGCTGTTGGGAGCATGCATGAAGGGATAAATGTCTCTGCAAACAGCGTTATGGAAGTGACAGCTACTGCTACCACCACTGTCACTTTTTAGCTGCCATCATGTTGTCAAGATCGCCTGACCAGGGTATCCCAGTCCCCAGCAGACTTTACAGCCTCTAACACACCCTTCATAACCACTAAGTCTACAAGAACCACAGACTCTGAGGGGCCTGTTTCCAAATCTCAGAGTAGGCCCTGACTGAGTAATCTGTGTCCTCGGGGACAATGGAACGGTGTTCCCAAGCAGCCCAAGACACACAGTGTAGTATAAGAGGCCCAGGAGAACTGGGGCCTGAGGCCATCAGAGAGCTCCGAATCAGACCTTCTGCTTCAGATTCCAGGGGCTGAAGGCCTGGCCAGAACTGAATCATACATAACCTTCAGGGCACACCATGAGCCAGAGTTGCCAGCAAAGCCTGTTTGCTGTCACAAGTTTGGGGATATTTAATTAGGCAGCAGTGAGTACTTATTATATCACCTTGGGTGACACGGAGCAAACATGCTGTGTCAAATGGGCACCTGTCTGTATTCACAAAAATCTACTACAGGGTTCTCCTGGCAGTGTCACCCAAGTTTGTGGCATCAGTTCCTACCATACCCCCTATCCTAGGCCAAGGACTCCACTAGCAAAAAAAAAAAGGGGGGGGCTTGCCCTCTCAAGAGAATCCCCCAAACCTAGCGCAATGTGAGATGTGGTACAGACACTAGTTCTTCCCCAGGTCCTGAGGAGTCCAGTTCCTCAGAGCTCTAGGCTTTCCGTTCAGAGCCCAAGGGCATGAGTTAAGAAGGGGCTTGGGATCTAGGTCAGCAGCACAGCGCCTGCCTAGAAAGTGCAAAGTCCTGAGTCCAAGTCCTAGTACCAAAAATAAGAAGAATGGCCTTGAAACACCATGGGGGCAGCTGGGGGAAGAGAGCAGGGGTGCCCCTGGTTGGTGGGCACGTACCTGAATGAGCCGTCCAGGTTGGCACGATGGATGAAGCTGAGCTTTGCATCAGCCCAGTAGAGCTTCTGCTCCTCCAGGTCAATGGTCAGCCCATTGGGCCAGTAAATTTCTGAGTCCACAATGATTTTCCGGGTGCTGCCGTCCATCCCTGCCCGCTCAATCCGGGGCGTCTCCCCCCAGTCTGTCCAGTACATGTACCTAACAAGGAAGGCAAGGGCAAGAGAGAGTACTAAGAGATCTGAGTACTGGCTTCGACTTCTGTCATGCACCCTAAAGCTCACCCATAGAGACACTGTGTTCAGGAATTTGGGAAAAGTCATATGTGGCTTATGACAAGAATTCTGTGGGTTTATTTTGGTGGTACCAGGGATTGGATTTTGGGGTGTTCCACAAATGAACTACATCCCCAGCTCTTTTTTGGGGGTGGGGGGGACAGAGTCTCACTAAGTTGCCAAGGCTGGGCTTGAACTTGCCATCTTCCTGCTTCAGCCTCCCCAGTGCTGGGATTACAGGAGTCCACTACCATGCCCAGCTAGGAAAGCATCATTAGGAACACAAGCAGCATTCTTTAAAATTATGAAAAATGCATCATTAGGTCACACAGATATCAGAGTGGGCTTCCACTGACTAAGACAGCTATGATGTCACCAGGTAATAGTTCATACATGGACCAACCCTGACCTACACACCGTTACGTGGCCAGGACTACGTTTCCAAATTGCTCTCAGTTAACAGTATGTTCTGAGCACATTCCTCTTTCAAAAAGAGAAACATTTCTCCTTCTTTTAACAGTAGTACAGCAGACTGCCCTGTGCATTATTTAAATAGCTCTGTGTTTGATGTTTGGGTTATTTTGGACATTTTGCTACAAAAATGCTGTAGATGAACTTCTGAAGGGCAACTAAAGACATGCAGAATGGGATATATCTACTGTTAAAACAGGATGAGCTATCAGGCCGTGAAAAGACACACAAGAACTGTAAGTGCTTATTATGCAGTGATATAAGCCAGTGTGGAAAGGCTACGTACTGCATGATTCTGATTTGGTGACACCTAGAGAAGGCAAAACACAGAGAATGCACAAAGATCAGTGGCAGCCGGGGGCCAGAGAGTGGGAGAGACAGGTAGTGGGAATACTACCCACAGGACAGGGCAGCAACACTCTGCTGAACAATGCCATGACATGGGTACAAGATGATACACATTCTCCCGAACTCACAAAACGTGCTCACCAACATGAACTGTAATATAAACCACAGATTCCCAGTGACAATGACACCCTGGTGGAGGTTCACTGATTTTAACCAACAGTGCTCTGGAGGGGGAGCCCGATGTGAGGGCTTGGGGCCATATGGATAATCCCTCTACCTTCTGCTCCGTTTTCCTATGAATCTAAAAACTGAAGTCTGTTTTAAAAGGAACAACACATGTGGGTGGCACACCCACAGAAATAACAGCAGCTACTCCTGAGTGTTTATGGGTGAGCTGGCTGTGCCCATCCACCAGGGCTGTGCCCAGCCATCGAGGGCCAGGTGCCACACATCCTCAAGAACATACATCTACAAAGCCGTCCTCTAGGCCATTTTCTCTAGTGTCTGGCAATCTGCCCCTCCGCCCACACCTTGGCCCCCATTTCTTCAGAGGTAAAACTTCCTTCTTCTCAACAACCTCTGAGCTGACACTAAAACGAGCTCAGCTGTGGCCCTGGGGATCTCCGCAGCAGAAGGAAACTAACAGACACCTGGCTTCAGTCATCCCAGGGGGACACCCCTATTGTGAGTCCCCAACCCCAGCTTCCCAGCGGGGGTCATTTCCAAGCCAGGAACACCACTGCCTTCCACAGAGGCTGTGACAACACTAATGACAATGAGGGCATAGGGGCTTCCTATAAAACGTTTTCTCTGTGCCAGGGCCAGCGGCCAATTATACCTGACTGTTATCACCCTGCCCTGTTCTCCAGCCCCAGGGGATAGAAGAGGGTATATATCGTACAACATCTCTTCAAACAGCATCTTCATCTATCCTCTCTGCACCTAGAAAAAGTCCAACCAACACAAGGGAAGTCAGTGTTGTTCCCAACAGACAGATGAGGACCATGAGACGCTGGATGATTGACCTGCCTGAGTCTTGGCACAGCATGGTTGTCTGCTGAGGGCCTGTACCAGGCCGAGTATGACTTCATCAGGATGCCAGGGCATGGGGGATGGGAGGGGCTTTTCCTGGGAGTCTGAGGTTTGAAGGTGCTGGTGGCCAGCTTGTCAGAGACACTGGCTGGTTTGGTTCAAAGCCCTCCTTCCCTGGATCACCCTTACCCCGTACCCAGGCCTCCCTTCACACCCAGAGTTATCAAGAGAAAGATCTCAGTGTGATTCACATGGCATTCCCTGAACACTGCACTGTGGCCCAGTGACACACCCAGAAAAGCTCCAGGAGTTACGTGGGCCCTACTTCACATCTCCGCAATCACACAGCTGAACCCTCTGCTTTCCTTACACGGGGCATCTGCAAGTGGCCGTCAGCACAGCTGCACGGTGTGGACGCATTGCGGACATGCCTGGGCACAGTCTCTCGGGCTCCAGCAGGAGCCTGCACTTCCGAGAGGCAGCATGGCCTGGGGCAGAGGTTCCGCCGGGTGGCTGCGCTGGCTCTTGGCAGGGCTGCCTACATTTTCAAGAGGCGGTGCAGTTTATCCTGATTAACAGGAGACTGGGCTGCAACTGCAACCCCATCAGACTGGTCCGGGATGTAAGAATTATAGAGAATAGATGCAAAGAGAGTATCTCACACAGTGGAGGAAGGGCATTTTTATTGTAACTGCTGAGTTTACTGAGCCCAGGAACCGTGTTACTGTTTTCCCTATGATGTGAATCTTAGTCACACCTCTGCACAAATTAGGGCACTAGGGCACAGAGCAGCACTGCGCCACCCTTGCCTTTCTCTCCAACCCACGTGAAGAATGCCGGCAGGCTCAGTTGCTTTTGCCCTCAGAACAGTTCCTATCTTAGTTACTTTTCTCTTTGTTGAGACGAAATGCCAACACCCACAAGTTAACGGAGAAAAGGCTCATGGTTAGTAGAGGTTTCGGTCCATTCTCGGCTGGCTCTAAGGCCAGGTGGTATGGCAAATAGGCCTCACAGAGGAGGAACAGCTCACGGCAGACAGAAGGTAGCAGAGCAAGCAGGAGATAATCACAGCTCTTTCTACCCTCCCATCTCATCCGGGCTACTTACAGAAGGTAGCACTCACACCCTTAATCCTGGCACCTTTGATAGCATCACACCATGATTCAATCCCAGTGTCACACATTCTAGATCCAGCCACGGCTGAAAAAGCCCCACTGACAACAGCATGAGGCTTGTGGGAACATCTAGACACAGCCATAGCAGATCCCAAAGCTGGTCACTTTTTATCGCTGAGCCACTACTCCCTGGTCCAAGCCACTGCCCTCCGACACCAGGATCACAGTAACTGTGGTTGGGTCCCCTACCCTGTGCCCACCCCAAAGCCTATTCTCACTCCACAGCCCAAAAGAGCCCCATCAGTTTGAGTCACACCAGGTGACTCAACTCAAGACTTGCCCTGCCCCTCCCCACACCTCATGACGTCTTTGGACATAAATGAACCATTCAAAATGTGCCCCAGCCTTCTATGAGCTCGAGCTTCCAGCTATCCCAAGGCCTCCTCATTGTCTGTTCCCCTTGTCTGGAATGATCCTCCCCCAGAGGACCATGTGGTTCTTGCCCTCATCTGCTCTGGCTCTGCTCAAAAGTCACCGAAACATTTGAGGCTTCCAAACTACAGCACAAAGGCCCTCACCATGGCCTTCTGCCCACAGGCCCTGCTTTATTCTCCTGGTGGCATGTGTCCCTCTCAGACCCACCATCCATTTATCATCTCCAGGTGCACCGAGAGGGCCCCAGAGGCATAGAATGGCTGTATCTGAAGCACAGGGAACAGACCTGGGCATGTGTGCTTGTGAATGCTTGCTAAACGCCAGCTGGAGGAGACAGCGCTGCTGCGACCAGTGTGTGGCAGTGTGAATAGGACAGCAGGGTCACTGGAGATGAGATGGCCACAGCATCCAGGGCCAGGCAGACCATGTGCCAGCCCTGGGCTAGGCCTCTCTGGATGACTGCTCCTCAGCCTCACTCACTACAGAGAGATGGCCCTCTGAGCCAAGGGCCTGCCCCCTCAGCCATCAGCTCCCAGGGAGTCAGGGACTCTGAAGGATCTGGAGCCACATCACAGCCCAGGCAGAGGCCTACAGGGACTGTTCTGGCTGCACAGAGACCGTCTTGGAGGTTAGCCTGAGCACTGGGCAGTAGTGTGTGGCCAGTTCACGTGGAGGGGGAAAGACCACAGGCACAGGGGGCCACCCAACACAGCCTCCCAGAGACTGGGGAGAGAGGTGTCTTTCGGGCAGGGAGACAAAATACTTGGGCAGAAAATTCCACCCTACCCCCTTGTCACGGGTATGAACATAAATATGAACACACATTCATGCCCTTGTACCTGCATATGTCTCAGTCACACACATACATGTGCCTATTTACAAGGCCGCATGCACACGATTTCATACACACACACAATACTAACACATACTCCCTTGTAACCATGCCATGAATATGGACATATACGCTTGTCGTGTACTCTAGTTCTCACACACATGTACATGTGCTCATGCAATGCTCATAAAAACTTGTACACATACATCACACGGCCACATTTATGTGAGCAAACACTCACATACTCATGCACACAGCTCTATAGTCCAGCTTGCACTCTGACACAAACACACACACACACGTCATCATATGCACTCGGATACACGCGCACACACACGCTCAGGGTTTTTCATAAAGCAGCCAACTCCAAGGCCCCAGCCAATCCCATGCACTCAGAAGCCTGTACAGTGGCCTCAGAAGTAACAGGTTGGCTCGGCTACCACCTACCCCTCTCCTGACCTATTCCTGAAACCCCGAGATGTGAGCCCTGGAGGGGATAAGCCCCACCTCCCAGCCCTTATCCAAGTGCGGGGGCAGAGGGGCCTTAACTGCCCAGCTTTGGCTCACACTGTAGACAGTGCAGATAGTGTCACACGGGGCAGGTGAGCCCAAGGCCAGGGCAAACAGCAAACAGATGACACCTAGACTGGAACAGAGATCCCTAGTCCTACTTCAGAGCAAGTGGCACCTCCCTACTGGGGACAGCCAGGGCAAGGGCTCTAGACCCAGACTTCAGGAGGGAGGCAGTGACAATCACGGGCTCCCACACCAGGACATCGCTCAGCTTGTCTCTGGGGTGTCTAACTCAGGAGACCTGGTGAGTCCCACAGAACCTCCACACCGAGTTCTTCACCTGGAGACCTCAGGCTGGCACGTCTCAAAGGCTTTGGTGACATTAAATGAGCTACTCACACAGAAGGGAGTGTTTGGGTGTGATGCTCAAAACATCTGGCCATTCTGAACGGGGCAGACACACGGCCCGGCAGGGCCAGGCTCCGGCAGCCTAAGGAGGCGTGTGCATGTCATGCCCCTGTGTTACTCCCAATAGGGGAGGGACAAGGGAGGGTGAAGGGTGACTGTGGAAACTACTCCCGTTTGGAAATCTGGAACAAGCAGGCTTGTGGAGCCAGGCTGCTTCCCCGCCACTCTCCATCCCAGCCTACAGCCTCAAGGTTTTCACTTTTGCCACCACTCACACTCTGCCCCCACCATAGGGGCTGGGCTGAGGCTCCAAAGGCCAGGCTGAGCTCAGCTAGACGTGCAGGTGGGTAGAGCTGCTTCTAGAGCACACAGAGAAACCAGCCAGCAGGCTCTGCTCCAGACGGGAGCCAGCCAGGGCAGCCACAGAGCAGGGGGAAGATGCACCTTTCCCCCTGAGGGCCACACTTCCCAGGCCCCTCCCACAGCAAAGACATTTAACCTTCCATTCTCTGCCCCACTACATAGGTTGCCCTGGTGGACAACAAGGGCAACAAGATTTAAACAGCAAGTTTAAAAAAACATGTGAGGGGCCAGGGAGATGGCTCAGTAGAATAAGTGCTTCCCTGGAAAGCGCAAGAATCTGAGTTCAATCCCTGGTTCAGAAAAAATAAATAAAAAATAAATAAATAAAATTTTAAAAACGTGAGTTTGGGCTCGTGGTGCGAAATCTATCAACCCAGCTACTTAGGAAGCTGAGGCAGAAGTGTGAGTTCAAGACCAACCTGGGCAACTCAGTGAGACTCTAGCTGAGAAAAAAAAAAAAAAAATGAGGGTGTAGGGCTGGGGAGATGGCTCAGTAGAATAAGCGCTTGTCTGGCAAGCGCAAAGGTCTAGAGTTCAAAACCCTGGTTCCACAAAAAAAAAAAGTGAGGCTGTAACACACTACTGAACACTACCTTTGGGTTTAATCCTTAGCAATGAAAAACAAAAACTGTGTTATGTATAGGATAGAGGAGAAATACTTCCCAGCAATAGCAGGTGAGTTCACTTTCAGACTGCCACATGTTCTTTAAAGGACTGGAGTTTTGGCTCAAGGAAATCCCACAGGGAAACCCCGCTCTCCCTCCTCCCAAGGACCCAGGAGGGAAGTAGAGTGCTTACCCATGGGCGGGGTCCAGAGCGATGGCCCTCGGCTGGTCCAGGTCCTGCCAGAACAGCACCTTCCGGGATGTGCCATTGAGGTTGGCCACCTCGATGCGGTTGGTCTCTGAGTCCGTCCAGTACAGCTTTTTGCCCACCCAGTCACAGGCTAGGCCATCAGGTGAGACCAGGCCAGAGACAATGACATTCTGTGTAGCCACCCCCGTGTGGTTCAGGTAGGTCTGCTTGATGGCCTCCTCGCTCACATCTGTCCAGTACACGGCACCCTTGGAGAACTGGAAGTCCACGGCAGCTGCATCTTCCAGCCCACTGACCACAACGGTGGACTCCAGCTTGACTCCACCAGCATCCACCAGCCGCACATCCCGGCGGTTGGCAAACAGCAGGAGCGGGGAGGCTGTGAGGGAGAAGCAAACTATGAAGACCAAGCAGGTGGGGCGCGGGGCTCCAGGATGGGGCGAGGGTTTGTAGGACCCACTACTGCCATCTGTCCCACCCACACTGGAGAACTTAGTCCCCTTCCCTCCACACCCCAGCTGCTGCCTGGAAGCTGCCTGAGCATCTCCAGAACCGCACACAATCTTATTATTAAGCTCAGTAACAGCCAACCATTTACTGAGCAACTGCTACCTTCGTCCTCCCAGCAACAGGTGACTCCTCTGCCACATCCCCCACTTCACACACATGCCATACAGAGACCATGGGGTCCTCTAGATGCTGCACAGGCCTTGCTCTGCTCCACAAAGAAGGCACATACATCCCTTTGTCAGCCTGATCCCGGTAGGACCCTGGAGGCCTCAGCCCTGGGCAGTGTCCAGCCGAGGCCTGGCTAGGGCTAAGCTTTGGGAAGTGGCTCCGAGGGAGCCTAGGCTGGACAGAGCCTCAAGATGGCTTTCCAAGTCTCTGACCACGATCCAGACACCCCTATATAGAACAATCTTAAAGGGGAGGCCTGGAGCCCACCCCTCAGCCCAAAAGCTTTCCATCACTCCCTGTGTCAGTGGCTCCAGCTGCTGGCCTCTCCTGCTCTCCTCCCCATCTCCCCCACCTCCAGGGATCCTGATCTACCTCACAGCTGGGTCATTTTTTATTACTTCTTACCACCTATGACTCTCACCTGAAATGAGGGTCTCAACCCCATACCCGAGCCCATAAGCTCCACAGGGCCTGGAGACCATCACCCCACCCCACATCTCAAAGGCCAGTCCAGGAGCAACCATGCCAGAGAGACCCAGATCACAGGAGATTCTGGACATGAAGAGGCGGAGGCTGCCAGACAGCTCCAGCGCTCGACAGTCAGCAAGGATAGGCTACACCAGCCATGAGCACCCCAAAACACCATCTTGGGACTTGCTAGAGACAGGTGCCTTTCTCATAGTTGCTGCAGACTGTGAGGCTCTCCCGCACAGAGGAACCTGGCTAGCCACACTCCTGCTCCACCAGGACAAGATCCACACAGACCGGATTCAAGCACTGGAAATCTCCTAGGTGGTGATTAGTTAGTTCAGTTGCTTCTGTTTCAGCAGGAAAAGGGTTTGCTCCTCCGAGAGCACTGAGGGTACCAAGCCCAGAACACAGGGGACAAGCGCCAGCCAGGCAGCAGGGTTGAGGGCTCAGGCTCCGCGGCCAGGATGACACCCTTACTGTGACCACCAATAGTAGGGGATTCCCCTAGCTGCGCTACCACCATCTTCACTTTATCTGGTCTATGGTTCCCTGAGGCAGGAGGTACACGGTGAAAATCTGACCCCAGAAAGTCAGATGAAAACAAACAAACAAACAAATCAGACTTCACAAAAATTTTAAAACTTTATGCCTCAAGAGACCCTATGCACAGGCACAGTGCTGCATGCCTATAATCTGAGCTACTTAGGAAGTTGAGGAAGGAGGATTCCAAGTTCAAGCCCAGCCTGGGTAAATTAACAAGACCATTTCTCAAAATAAAAGGGCTGGGGAACATAGCTCAACACTCCTGGGTTCATTCTCAAGGACAAGGAAGGAGGAAAAAAAAAAAAAAAGGACCACCTACAGACTAAAAAAGCAGCTTACAGAATGGAAGAAAATATTTGCAAATCAATCTCTGAAGAGGAATTAATATCCAGAATGTTGAGAGAATGCCTAAAATTCAACAAAATTAAAACCCCAACTCAATCAAAAAATGGACAAGGAAACTGAATATACATTTGTCTAAAGATGATCTACCAGGCCAGGGATGACAGCACCTGCCTGGCAAGTGTGAGGCCCTGAGTTCAATTCCCAGTACAAAAAAAAAAGATGATCTACAACATGGCCAATAAGCACATGAGCAACAGCCAACAAATTAGTCAGGGAAATGCAAATTGCAACCACACCGAAACACCCCCTAACATATACAGCTACTTTCTCTTAGTTCAATGAGAAGAAAGATTTGTACTGTTTAGACAAGATATCATTAAGAGTTTTTTTTTGTTTTGTTTTCAGAACCAGGGATTGAACTCAGACCCTTGCGCTTGCCAGGGAAGCGTTTATTCCACTAAGCCATCTCCCCGGCCCTTAGACAAGATATCATGTCTGCATCTTGTACTCTGAAAAACTACTACAAAGACAATATGCTATGCATTAATTTTTTTTTCAGTTTTATTGATAAACAGCAATGAGACAGTTTCAAATCAAATCGGAAGTACAGTTTCAACAAATAATACACTGCATATATTCTTCTTAGTGGTTAATTGCTGCACAAGATGCGGACTTGTGATCCTATTTACATATGTATTAATTTTTGTAACTGTCCTACTAACCTGTTTTGAAACTGTCTCATTACTATTTCTTTCTCAATAAAATTAACAAAAATAAAAAAGGAAAAAATAAATAAATAAATAAATAAATAAGGAAAAGAAAGCAGCAGCCCTGATGTGAAGAAACTGGACCCTTCTGAATACTACCGGTGGAAATGGACTATCAGTGGTACAGGCACTGGAAAACAGTGTGGGGTGATTCTTCAAATATTACAAATAGAAGTTCCATTTAACTCAGCAATCACATTTCTGGAGCTACATCAAAGTTATTGAACACAAGATCTCAGAAGTGTGTGCAAGCCTATGTTCATGGCACCATTACTCACAACGGCTAACAAGTAGAAGCAGCCCAAGTGTCCATCAATAGATGAATGAACAAACAAAACGAGGTCTAGCCATGCAGTGGAAGAGGACTCAGCCGTGGAAAAGGACACTTGGATACTTGCTGCAACATAGATGAACCTGGGCGTCTATGTTAAGTAAAATGAGCCACTCATGAGAATCAATACTGCATGATTTCACCTACACGAGGCCTTGAGAGCTTCAACATCACAGACAGAGAGGAGAAAGGTAGTTGCCGGGGGCGGGGGGCGGGGCAGGGAGTCAGCACTTCTGTTTGGGGAGATATAGCGTTTTAGAAGTGGATGCCCGTGATGGCTGCAAACAGTAAATATGGACTTAATTAAGCCACTGGCTGCACAGAAACAGGGCTACGGTAGTAAATTTTACGTACTGTGTATTTTACTATTATAAAGTTAAAAAAAAAAAAAAAAGTCAAACATTGTGACGTGACAACTACAGTTGAACCTGGCACTCTGACCTCTCCCACAGACAGCCAGAGTGAAGAATGTCTGTCCCCAAATCTTGCTCTTTTTCCCCAGACAGTAAAGAAAACTCCTGGCAGAGTCGGCAGCTCTCTGCAGTCACACAGCGACGCCACCCGGACCTACAACCACCAGAGCTGTGGGTGACAGTGACCCTCTGGAAATGGCTGAAGATGAACTCAGAGAAGAGCCTCAATGGCAAAGGTCAAAGGCCTTGGCACAGGGAAGGTGCCCCAGTGCTTGGCTCCTCGGTGTGCCCAGTTGGCAAGAGGACAATGTTTTCCTGCGTACGCATACCTCAATAAAAAGATACTGAAAACTTAGAACTTTGCCTGTGCCTTGCTTGAAGACCACCTCCTGGCTGCCCACAAGAATGCTCCTCCACATGCCAAGAACTCCAGGGGATGCCCCCCCAGGGACTCTGCCTTTGGGGGGGCCTGCACTTATGACAGTACCCCTGCCCAGAACTGCACTTTACAGTTGCTCTCTGAAAGCCATGGTCCACACCCTGCAGATACCCAACTTGGAAACACTGAGTTACTTACCCTACTTTTGCAAGGAAAGTACAGGGGGCTGTACAGAAGGGTCTTCCAGCCCCAGCCTTGCCCAAGCCCAGGCCACATTAGGAGGCTGAGCAGACAGGGACCATCTGAAGGGGAAGATGCCAAACCCTGTGGGAGACAATGGAATAGCAGGAATCCTGCCCAGCATCAGGAAGGGTCTGGAATCTTCAGAGAAGCCAAGAAAATACAGACCAGGGGGCCCCTCCCCTTCTTCCCAGAAGGCTGTGTGTGGGAAGCCCCTACCAACAAAGACACCCATGGCCTATGGGGTAACCTGGTATTCCTAGATCACACACCCATTCATCACTGCAGCCACCCAGAGCAGGGGTTATCAATAATCCCATTCCGTGTGTGAGGGTGACTGTCCCGTGGCTCTCTGCCAAAAAGTCACTGGCCTGTCCGCCATGTGTCTAGTAAGGATGTGATCTGCCCAGGCAGGCTGACATTTCACACTGTGCTTCCTGACCTTCGGGGGTGGAGGGGGGGTCACAAAAGCCTCTGAGGAACTGATCCTTTCCCAACACACAACCCACACAGTGCTGTTGTCAGGTCCCAGGGAAGCCCCTGCCTAAAGTAGGCCTGGCCCCAGCCCAAGAAGCCCTTGCTAAAGCACGCAGGGAGAAAAAGGATCTGACATGGAGCTTTCGGCTTGAACCCAGCTCCTCTGCACAATCACAAAAGGATTTGTATTAGGAAAGATGAAGGAACACTAGGTGGAGGACGGGACTCCTGGGTAGTGAGCGACATTGGGGACATGACCAAGTGACTCAGAAACTGGAAGATGCTGGAGCCAGGAGAGTCCTTCCAACACGTAGCTGTGCTTCCACAGGGCAGGAAGAAGCACTGTGATAGCCCAAGGGGCGAGTGGCCAGCTGCCCAGAACCCAACAACCCCTTCTCCCAAGTGGGGAAAGGGGTGCTAGGGACTGGGATGCCAGGGAGGGAGGCAGGAGCCCCGGCAGGCTGCCCCAGGCACACAGAATCCCAGTTTGGTCCTGTTCTCTTCTCTCTTCCCAAACCGGAAAGGCAACATTTCACATTTCAATATGGTTTACAGTTCAGGTGCGCTCTTCAAAGAGGGAGGGCTATGTGAGAGGGGGTGTAATTTCCTCTGATTTTTCCAGCCTACAACTGACTGCCAGAGCCATTGTGAGCTAGGGTGGCAACAGCAGCCAGGCACAGGCTCCCCAGGAGCTGCTCCCAGCCATGGGAAACAACCATACACTAATTCCTACA